GCAGACCACTACACCACGAAGGAACGCAAAGAAGTCGGGAGAAATACCTTATAAGATAACTGTTTTAACACAAAGGATTAAAAAATACATTTTTTTTCAAGAGTTCTCTGCAGAACTTTCTTGAAAAGAAATGAGAAAATAGATATTTTGAGTATGCCAAAAATTTCTCTAAAATATTTCTTGTAGGAAAGCAGTTTTGATGGAAGTTCCTGACTATCGCCTATGGTCACAAGACCCAGATCTAAGAGTTTGCTTTTCAGTGGTGGCAGAAATCTTCCTCGAAATACTATTTTTCGCTCACGAAAGCCAGAAAAATAGGAAAGGTGGGTCTGGAGATAATGAAAGATCAATGTGACCTATGAATTGAACTACTTTAATAACGTCCTGCTCAATTGGCAATTTTCTGAGCAAAATTAGCTCATTTATTTAAGTCGCTTTTAGATCCTTAAGCGAATAGTGCAGTTAAAACCTGATCTCAGGTATGTCTTTAATTGCCCTCTCAGATACGTTTAAGTTGCTTGTCAATTATTAATTTCCAGGTAATTCCTCTCAGTTAAAAGTTAATTAATCCTATTCAAAAACTGAAATTGGGGGGGGGGGGGCATTCGTGTCATCGTAAAATCTTCGCCATGTGCAAGGATAGTCGGTTGTACGTTTAGGTAACTCTTTTGGCTCCAGTGAAGTCCTACTTAAAATGTTCCTGATCAAAAACAAAAAAAAAAAAACCTTCGCCCGAGCACTCTAATTTTTCGACCTGTTTTGTTTCTATCTCTTCACAAATATATATATATACCTACTAGTAATATTCCTATTTTGTGCAGCTTTCAAATTTCCTTTCCGATTTTTCCTCGTTAAATAACTCCAAGAATATAACAACGATGTGTCACATTCCGTCATAGATCCAATGGGAAGCCGAATAAAGGTGAAACATTTTAGCGAAGCACGTGTTCTAACATCTTTTCTGTTTACAGGTTGCCTCTATGAAGTTACAGCACAGAAAAAAGCAACCAGCAGATGGTGCCACTAGAGCCACAAGTGACGTCACAGCCAGGTGCTAGCTCTCCTGAGAAGCGGCACTTCCGCCTCAAACGTTCTCTCTTCCAGACGGAGAGTCAGAATCAGGTATCAACGGCTCCTGTGTGCTTGCCTTTGTTATTGAAAAAAGGAGAAAAAAATTCGGTTCTGACTATATCCCCCATTTCATATCCGCTGCTTTTGATGTGACTGAGTTCAGCAAGTGGTTTACATTTTAGTTGCAATGTGGATACTAGTCGAGAAGTGAAAAATATTTGAATAATATTCTGAATTTAAAAAAAATATACATATCGTTGATTATTTTGTTGACAGTGCCGCAACGTGGAATTCATTTTTGACGTTATGTTGCCATGCAGCTGAGAAGTGTGCGTAAGCGGATGACTTTGTGGTAAGTGTTTTAAATGTTAATAGCTTTGATTTTCAGATTATTTTACCTGCTGGCAGGAGAACATAAAAGCTGAAGTGATAGAAAACGCGGCGGGTACGATAACGGAATAATGATACTCTTTGAAAGCGACTTCTAGGTCTCGCGAAAACTGTTTTATCATTGGAAAAATATCAGTTGGAAATAACTGTCAAATTATGTAATTATATTACGTATTTTTATAATTATATTCTCCACTGTTTTCTGCCCCTAAACACTTATCAGCAACTATTTTTACTATAAGATTTAGATGTTATAATTTTAGACTACATCTGATTTGACGCACCAGCTTACAGAATCATAACTCTATTTTATGTTTCTTCTCTCCTAATATCATTTTCAAAAAGTTATATTAAAAACTAATGTAAATTTAATGTGATAAAGGTTTCCTATATAATATGCCATTAAAAAAGCAAGCCTCTTACGTAGATATATATAGAGAGGTTCTAAAAAGTAAGAAATTTCACATGCATACATATATATATATATATATAAAGGCATAGTTGTAATACTATTTTAAACTGTAACGTAAGTTCATAAGTACTTTTTGTTCTTCATTTTTTTAATGTATAAGTATAATTTTTATCTTGCTGACTGACTGATTCTTCACTACTTAGTCACTACTATTTTTTCATGGTTATATATTCTTTAGGATAATTTTACATTTTAACAAATGTTGAATGATACATCATTTTTCATTATGAGGTATATTTGCCGAAGATAGAGATATAGGATGGAAACTATAAAACTTTAAAAAATGCCAAAAATTTAGAAATATTGCTTGGAAAAAAAAAATGTCGTTATGTTAATTAAATGCTAAAGTGTCACGGCAATTTTACATTGTGTGAATTATTTTATGACCTTATTTCGTGCGATAATTATCATGCCTGCCTTTATTTAAACTCCGTATTACCTTGCGAGAATTTTTTTCTAGAAGACGAAAAAATAACCATTTCTCTTTCTGAGATTTCTATCATTGCAATAAAACTTCGTTTATGATGAAATTTTGTCATGAATAATTACTGAACAGTGTGAATTGATATAGAGGATAATAGCTCCAAATTGTATTTAAATGTACAAATTTTTTCTGCAACTTTCCACACTAACTTCTATCTGCATACCAATACCTAATTTACATTTATTTTCTTTTAATGGGACTTGACTGTAAGCCCACTAGTGGAGTGGCTTAAGCCGATAGATAGTGGTAGTTTGTCTCACATTCAGTTTTCGGTACTAAAAGTCTAGAAACATGTTTTTTTTTTTTTTTTTTTTTTTTCTTCATGTTTAACTTCCGTACGAGCCAATTTTTTTTTTCTTTTAGAACACCGTTCACGAAGACATTTATACTTTTAGGTAGATTGTCCTAGTGTCTTTAATCCCACCAATGATCGAGCGGTTAAGACTGCTGAATACTTGTAGTTCGACTGCGCTCGAACCCAGACGAAAGGTCTTGGCTGCTTGATTGTTTTTTGTGTTTTTACCCATATGTAACTAGAATACAAGCCAATTTCCCTTAGAAAGTCCTTCACGAAGTTTTTTTTTTTTTTTTTTTTTTTTTTTTTTTTTTCCCCAATGGAAGGTACTTGCCTATAACGGAGTTGGCCACTAATAGTGGCCATAAGTGATGGTAATTTTAATGTGGGGGCACCTATTGAAGGGACAGACAATTTTACATCCATGCCTTATTCGGGATTCGAACCCGGGCCGTTCGATATCGCAGTCAAGCTCCCCTTAACCACTATACCGCCTGGGCGGCCCCTTCATGAAGTAATCCCCTCCGTTGTGTCAACAGCCCTCGTAGGCTTTGCCATATTCAAATAACATACCTAGGGAATCTTACCATAATTTAATAAACTTTAAAATTTTGCAGCTCTAATTTTATCAGTTTATGTTGTTGAACCTATAAAAACTTATTAGTTGTTATTAATATCGAGGGAAAGTTAATCAACTGACAGCTCGTGAACTAAATCTTAATATTTTTTAGCATCAAAGTGAATAAGATTATCGCGACCAATGTTTATTTAAAATAAAATGAAATCAGAACAATTTGCAAATGGTCGCACTAATGAGAAAAGTAAGAAAAAGCTTGAGCTAAAATCTGAATAAACTCAAAATTTGATTTTTATTTTTGACCATGCGCATTTTCTGTGCTAGGTAACTTTTATCAAATTTTGACTTCACATTTATTTATCTAAGTTACTGGTTAATAAAGTCTGCTTTTTTTAAGACTTTTTGTCAATTTTATTCTTGCATTTACTCTGCCGATTTACAGTATTTTTAAGGACATAGTTTTAAAAATTATTTATCATTCGATTGTTATTTATATACCTAACGGACATGCATTTAAATTCATGTGTATGCAAAAATAAACGAAATAAGCAACTTAGTATAATACCGTGAAAAGCTTAGCTTTCTGCTTGCACAAGTTTTGGCTAATACTTTTACAATTAAAAGGTCAGAGATACTATTTAATACAATTACTTTCCTTAAAGTGGACGAAATTGAAAACAAAAAATAGTCAAAACAGAAAGCATAAAAATAAATAAAAACCAAAAGCGCCACCATTGCCAATTTTTCCCCAGCATCACAGAAAATTTAGGGAAAGTTAAAATAAATTAACCTAGAATAACAGCCCTAAATGTGGACCTTCTGCAGAAAATATAGAATTAACTGTGGAAGAGGAAAAAAACTTTCTAGTCGAAAATACATGAAAGGAAAAAAATTATTAATTGAATTACAAAGGCTTCAATTTGCAGTTCAATGTTTCTGGTGATTTGGAAGCAACAACACGCATTATAAATAGACGTGTGTTTGAGTAGTTTTGCCAACGAGTTGTAATTAAATGAATTAAAATTTAAAAATTACCAGAATTGTAAACTATCCATTATGCATGTTCTACTTCCTTCTCAACCAGACGGAAAATGTATTCCCTTTTTTTTTTTTTTTTTTTTTTTTTTGTAGGCAAACCTGTTGGTTCAACGAAATTAATAATGCAAAATGAAAATAATGAAAACAAAATTATTAAGCACGTGCTATTAAAAATTAAATGCATATATATATTATATAAAAGTTAAAAATATTTTTAATTAAAAAAAACTAGTATTGAATTACCTAAAAAACGGATTCATCATTCATCATGTTTTTATAACACGTAAATAGGTCCTTGACCTTCTCAAAGTGTAAGAATGTCAAAACATTTTAAGTCGAAATAAAAATTTTAAATTATATTTATTGGCTTATTCAGATAGTAAGCTAGTAGCTATGTACCTCTGAATTAGTATATAAATAAATTATTCATTTGAAATCAATTTCGCAATCGACTTATATAATGTAGTTTTAGAGCCTAAATTCAATAAAACTTTCAGTAATTTCTTCTTTCAGTAATTTAGAAATTAATTTAACTTAATTTAAAAATTACGTTTTTCAGCTATATTTTAATAAAGCAACTATCATTTAAGTTTCATGTAAGTAATCAAAGTATTTTCATTTTTGTAGTAGAATGCTAAATATATTAAACATTGCATTGTGGAATTTCATTCATAACTTAATATCATCGTTTGTGAATCATCAATTTCCTTGCTCCGAAAACTCCCGAAAAACAAAGTCCTATATACATCATCTAGATTCTAAGGGATGCATATAGGACTTTCTAGGGCCTAGAAGCTTGTGATGCTAAAATGTTCTTTGCTTGAGCTGCAACCATTTAGTTTTAAGAAAAAAAATGCTCATTTCTCGACACGAGTTGTGTAGATGTAAAAGCAAAACTGAAACTTAAAGGTTGCGTTTGGAAAGCGAGTTGATTTAAAAATTAAATAAATAATCAAAATAAAAATTTACGCGAGATCTAATTAAAAATATCTCTTGAATATGTAAAACTGATTTGAAGACGTATTAGAGGAAAAGATGAAAATCAGAAAAGCTTCAGATCTCTTTACCAAATTTCAGAAAAAAATTTAAGAGTCATAATTTCTGATTAGCTCAATTCTTAAAAGTCTATTAATGATTTAAATTTGCCTGTTGTACCTTTTTCTCCCTATGCTACATAGCGGTGTGAAAAGAAATCATTGATTTTTTCCATTTATTTTGTTATTGTTTTAAATGTTCTTCCTCACTACTATCCTGATTCTATGGATTCCACTCATTTTACGATTCCATATTTTGAATGTTCTTGGAGATCATGAAAAGCAAATTTGAATTTGATTAGTTTCGTTAATAGATTTGTTATCGTATATTTTTGTGTGTGCACACCTAAATACTTATTCTTCACATGAGACATTAATATGGTTCTCCTAGCTCACGAATATTTACTTTCGTATGCGTCTAATCGTGTACCTCATTTCTATTTTTGAGTCGTACTAGTTGCTATGACGACGCTCAGCGTCACTGTTTGGTTATCGTGTCAAAAAACGGACGGTTGGCGCAAAACACGAAATGGAATCTCTTCGCGAGAATAAACAGACAACGGCTACGAGCTTCATTAATGTCCTGCGGCTTCGAAAGATGAATTCTGCGGAACTTCACAGTGGAGGGTAAAAGTGCACTTATCGCAAACATGCCTAACATACGGCTAAGAAAACTAGGTGAATTCGTCTTGATTGGTTAAGACCTGCACAGTGGGTTTCATGTTCCTCCATGCTTCGATCTCTCAAAGTCGCCCTGAAGCTTTTATTTTGTTGATTGCGCGCAAGTTTAATTTAGTTTTTGACCTGATGGCATAACCTGTAATGATTTTATGGAATATTTTCACTCACATTTCCAGGGTCCACCAGGTGACTGGATGGCTAAATAAGAGGAACACTCGTCTCTTCCTAGAGGTTGAACCGTTTAATAGCATTGCTTTTTCATCCCCCCCCCATGTGTAATATATGCATGCCCGGTTTCTGCGCGAAAGCCTTTTATGAAAACATCATTTACCCCTGGAGCGTCGCGTGTTTTGCCTTAATTAACCATTTAACACACGAACA